ATCTATAATCTATAATTTATAATATATATATATAAATACTCTTTACCATTTTTTTCCTGCTGGGACCTTAACTGCAACAGACAACGTAACCAGTACAACGTAAATCCCATTTTCATCAACAATGTATCGACCTGAACGTGTCAAGGACAAAGGCGAATCCAATCTTATGTCCTGTTCAATCCAATCTCCCATGTGCCACCAGGTTGGATTCAACGACAAGAAGCTACCAAAAGGTCTCTTGACAGCGAATCCTGGATGAGTTGCGTTTAATGTTAGTAAAGCTAACGAAAGGGTTGCATTGCCTTCAGTCTTCCAAGATGAACTGGAATCTAGAACAAAACAAACAACAGAGATCACWGTAGATATCAATGCTTGCCATATTCATATATATGGAAGATGGTTGGAAGACTGGTGCTGATAAACACCAAAACGAGGCTAGTTATCCTTTTCTGAGCTGCGCATGCAATACATTTGTATTTATCTTTTAGTCGCGCAAAATTCATGCACTGAGAGATACAGGTAAACGAAGTAATCCATACTCAAGAGAATGTCACGTGGTCCGAAATGGAAAAACATTACATCCAAACTCAATCAACTCTTACCTGAATGCACCGTAATATCTAATGAGTTCTTGGCTGATAAACGAATAAGACTCGTCAATCCAAATGATATTGGCTGATTAGCTTGAGCCCACGATACTCCATGGAGACCTTGTACGACTTTAGATACCCCTTCCGCATCTAAGTTAACAGAAACCTTAAGAACAGCATCCGTATTAGAACGAAGCACGATATTGATTGCAATTATGTACAGCCCTTGTGCGACGTCTAAGTTCTTAACACTAAGACCAGTGTCTGATAACCAACTGCTTAACGTTTTTAACCCACTCGAAGTGAACTCAACCGAAGAATGTCTGAAAAATAGCGAGGTGTTTGCGGTGGCTTGAGGGAGAAGCTGTGCAGACCGGGTGACCGCTAGAGATTTGTGTCTGACGCAGGTGTAGATACTTTGTTGTGACGTTAATCTAACAGCACCAGACAAGGACAGCCCTCCTTGATGTATAGATGACTCCAGATAGCATTGACTGCATAGTTGTTCTCCAATACACATAGATACTGGAGCAGAAGGAATGTCAGTTATTGACAAGGACGAAGTGAACAAATAGGTTCCCTGTGAAGCAATCACGYTTTCTTGCGCATACGGGTTTACTATATTTGATCTGTACAACGAACTTTCAGCCCTTGTCTTCCAATCAGAGACGACAGTCCAGCCACTTGATGATACGTCTGCTACAGATGCTACGCCAGTCTGGTGTAAACCAGGGTTCATGTCACGTGGTACAATCTTAACAATTGAGAATCCAGAATGAAATTTTTTCATTTTGTATAATAGGTCTCCCTGATGACACACATAGATATTCCTACCTTTCGTCAAATAAACCACGGCAAAGGCAGTAAAACCAAACTTGCTACGTTCTGTCGGCCCTTCGTTACTCTTGGTAGCTAACATAGTGAAYGGTACCATGGTATTATCGCCAACTAAATAGCACAGAGCGATTCTATACTCGGGGTCACCAGAAGCGAGATCATGCAGTTCAAACGTCACTGCCAAACCAACATAGTACAAACCTGAGTCAAGAACAGTAATGTATATTACAGAGTATGAACCTGTSGCTGACAGATCGATAAGATTTATTTTTTCGTTATATCGGCTGCCGTAGTCATAGGTATCGTATGGATATGTCAAGGACCTGAACGTTTTTACGTTCCTGTCATCAATTTTGATAACAGAATTGTATCCAGCGCGATGAGGGTTGGATATTGGAGAAATTAGTCCAATAGAAATACTGCTGTTGCCCAACACACTCCAAGAACCACCCCTTGTGGACTTCACAAACACCGATACATAATGCAAAGGCGAAAGCTTGACCGAGCAGGAGGCGGTGAAGCTGAACTTAAAATTAGTACTCGAAGCACTGTAGTAGTTTTGGCAGCTAGAAAACTGGTCGTTTTTACCATCTCCTGCTACCATGACATGGAAGCTGCTTACGATGGAGTAAGAGATGATGAGGTTGACTGAAATGTAGTAGAGACCTTCTTCAACGGGAGTGTATCTACTCTTTACTGCGTCCCATCTGTCCTGTGATTGATGGGTGATGTCACGTGATTCCCAACCCATTATTTCTTCCCATGTATCGACTGTCGTGTAGTCTGCCTTCTGGGGTTTAACTGGAATAAATTTTAAAAACTGGTCTTCACTTGCAATGCAATACAATCAAGGGTGGTGTAGCAGAAGTGCAATTGCYCTTCACCTCGCCTGGGGTCTCAAATTCATTTACTGACTCAGAATCGCTAGACTTTTTTTWAAATCCGAACCTAAGCGTGGTTAACCGTGGCGAACTTATATTCATTTTCAGTTGACAGGATGAGAAAGACGTTTCTGCACCTGAATAAAGCTTGAAGGGAAAGGGGCTGCTGAGCGAAAGAATTTCCATCTCAAATTGCTTTGACGCCGATAATTTAGAAAATAAAAAGTCTCGGAGCCGTTTCAAACTTGAGAATGATAACAAAGCAGTGCGACATTCCGTGAGGCATTGATGCGACGTCTACAACCAATCAGAAGAGGCGTAAAAACGAGAGGAAGCAGTATCCATTCAGTAGCTGAGAATGCAGCCCGCAGAGGGTCCAAAATAATAAATTCTGTTGCCTGTAGTTATGCATTTCGCAGACGGACTTAACCAGGGTTTAGTTCGGATGCCACGCATGCGAAGAATCATATGCGAGTAGAGTTTTTTAGGTCTCTTCATTGCTTCGAGGGTTTTGCATCTGGTTCTACATCCGATTTTTCACCCTCCGCAAAAACCTAACAAGCAAATTAAAATGCTATGCCCTGACTTAGATTAGCTAAAAGGTTGTGTCAGTGTATGTTCTGTGAGYTAGCCATGCCTTGACTTAGTAGATCAGCCAAGAGGTTGTTTCAGGKTTTGATCTGTGAGTTAGCCATGCCCTGACTTTGATCAGCTAGAGCCGGTTGTTTCAGGGTTTSATTTGTGAGTTAGCCATGCCCTGACTTTKACCAGCGCAGAGATTTCTGGATATCGATAAAAATAAAGGTAATTGAAGGTTTCACTTAGTACTTATTTACCTCCAATAAATCCATGTTCATCTGGTTTTCCCGCCCCATTCAAAGCAACAGAAAAAAAACTAGTTTCATTTACTGTCCACGTGGTACCAGAGTCAATACTGATAAACACAGAAAGGTGTTGCCCTGGTGACAGCCGTATTAACCCCGAAGTGCTGAGCGTGATATAATCTTTGAAGGGCTTTTGATATGCGTACAGTCCAGTTGTTGTGTCAACCTTTCCGTCCACTGCAATCATCATTTCCAGCGGAGACCTAGCAGTACCGTACAGTATAACAGTACTGGATACAATGTAAGTCCCTTCTATTGGAGTCATGTATCGTCCAGTTGTAGTATCAAAGGCACAGTCAAAAGAAAAAGRTCCCTCCGTTAAGTCACCGATCTTCCAATTTTCGATTTTATTCCAACCCGCGTTCGTGATGATTTGATTATTTTTTAAGGTAGCTGATACACCTGGCCAGTCTTTGGGAACCATAGTAACCGAGAAAAGGGTATTCGTCGTTAAGGATACTGAGCTATCACCATCCTTGTAGACGCAGAGTGTTATCGTTTGTCCTTTCTTTAGATAAAGAATTCCAGTTAAGGCTAACGAGTTAACAGAAGATATGGTTTCCTTAGTAACGATAGATGCCGCTGACTGCACGGAAGACGACTTATAATTCACAATAACCAACAGTTGAAGATTTTCTGCTCGACTCCATGACGAGGCCCTTGTGTTGACTTGGGCGTTTATTAAATACTGTCCTTCGATCTGTACTTGGTACGTCGTACCATTTACGAGTACTACTGAAGTTGATTCAAAGAAAGGACTAGGGTTCGCAGACCATGGGCCTATAGTATATAGACCAGCGGAGGTCATTACTGGGACAGGCGCACTGAGCTTATAAGATGCAGCGTGTAAGAGCTTTGCGCATGCGTCAGTAGCAAGGAACAAAGCCGAGAAGCCACTGCGTTCTTGTATTTTGTACGTCCCTTGTAGAGAGCGAGCTTTAAGGGCAAGGCARTCTCCTTTCTTCAGTTTAAAAATGCCGCCCGGACTTGCCGTCGCGTATTTCTCATCAAACAAATAGTTTTGAGTCAGTAGGTTTTGGTCGTTCAAGAACAGTGCCACAGAACCGTTTATTGGCTGTACAAGATCAAGTAAAATGTTCCCATGTACTTGATAGATGCCGTCAAAACTCGTGCAGTAAGTCCCTAACGCCTGAGAAAATCCCAAAAGAAACTGGAAGTTACTTGATGACAGAGCATTCCAATTGTCAAGACGACGCCAGGTTGAGGTCGAAATGGTAATATCACGTGACAAACTAGCTTGAAAAGCTGGGTGATTTGTCATTGAGCGAACCAGTTGAACAAAAAAGGTACTTCTAGATAACACCGTCCAGTGAGATCCATTCTCACACTCGACATACACCGACACTGTATCGCCAATAAAAAGTTGCACAAGACCCGAGACTGTTACACTCTTATTGTGAGACTGAAAACCGGTTAAACCTGTTTTGTACTTAAGATTATGGTTAACAACTAACGTTATTTTGAATGGTGTGTTTTCACGTCGTTCGATCAAAAGTATGGTAGATACATAGTAGATTCCTCGCAAAGGCGCCGTAAAATTGCTATCAAAAGTAGCTCCTTTGTTTACAGCGTTATGAGAGCCTAGTCCTTTACTCCCTGTGTCCTTCCAGCCTGATATTTCTGTTGAGTGGTTAAAAGACTGTGTCGTTTCGAGCCTACTATACACACCCACCTCAATAAATCCTGCAAAAGAGAAAATAAGAGATAAGGTCAATACAATGGGCATCTTACGCCATCTCTTGGAGTGATATCCTGGATTTTATCCTCAAATATCTCCAAAAAGACCAAACGTCAAATGGCAGTACTAAGG